AGCACTTGCCTCAAGCAGCTTCAATTTAACGCAACTTAAAAGAGAAAATAGTGCAACAGCAAAAAATGAAAATGACATGGATTTGCCCCGTGGTCAACTTTTACGAAGAACAACAAAGAGGTTGGGAAAAAAAGATAAATGAGGCTAAAGTGAAATGGCTACAAAGTATCCATTTATTAGAAAGTGGGACAAATGTAGTCAGAATAAATTAATTAATCAGACGCTTTTAATTGATTCGTTTGGAGTCCTGGCGCGTTGTGTGATTATGCTCAAGTGTTTAATTACGAATATAGATGAGATGATGCTGTTTAATTAGTCTGGCCGGCGAATGAGCTTTCACACTCTTCGCTGTAATTAGCATTTTGAGTATGCATGTGCACATGCGTCTACACGTCTGCACTGCTGCACACAAGTCTGTGGTTTGCATGCTTATCAGTTGGTTTATTTCAGTGTGCGTTTTTTGTGTTTGTGGCCTGATAAAGTGATGTTGCTTTTAAATAGTGCTGCTTTCCTCATGAGGACAGATGTGTTGATCACATGACCAGCTAAACCATACAGTAAATGTGTTATGCATTAACAAAAACGCACATCCATCATTATTAACTATGTTACTACTAAGTTACCACTATTTTACTACCATTAAGAGTAAAAAAAAATTAGAACTGCATAGTACTATATTACCGTGGTTGTTTTTGAGTCATGGCACCTTTTTAGGAAATACTCCAGTAACATAGTACAGTTATTCCATCCAGTGATAGTATTGTTGTACATTGGTACTAGGGCTGCAAAATATATCATTTCAGCATGGTCATCACAATGAGCGCATTTACAATAGTCACATCACAATATATGCAATGTTCAATCTGAACTACAGTAGACTGGGAGCGACAGAAATGTATTTAATTACAGTATTTACACAGAATCTGTATTTATACAAGACAGGTTTTCTCACTCAGAATTTTTTTCTTGTCTCTAGTCCAAATATCAACATTTTAAAGCAAAAAAGAGATTATTTTACTTACCCCACTGGCTCTTTTAAAGAAAAACTCTTAGTTTTGACCTATTTGTTCTGAAGTTAAAAACAAAACCATATTGTTACTTGATTATTCAATTTCTTGCTTGTGAAACTATAATTATATTGCAATATTTATCACTGAGAAAACAAAAAAAGACTATTAAAATAATATTTAAAAAGACTATTCAAAATAATAGTGACTTAATATTGTCAAAAAGCTGACCCCTGCTTGAAAGTATTTAGGACCAAATCTTTGACAAGCAAAGGTACTGGGGTAATCACGGTACCACAAATTTGCCATTATATTATGGTAATAGGTGACGCGGTGGCACAGTAGGTCGTGCTGTTGCCTCACAGCAAGAAGGTCGCTGGTTCGAGCCTTGGCTCGGTCGGTTGTCCTTTCTGTGTGGAGTTTGCATGTTCTTCCCACATTTGCGTGGGTTTCCTCCGTGTGCTCCGGTTTCCCCCACAGTCCAAAGACATGCATTCATTGTAAGTTGGTGGTTCATTCCGCTGTGGCGACCCCAGATTAATAAAGGGACTAAGCTGAAAAGAAAATGAATGAGTGAATGAATGATGGTAATGTTTAAATCAATTAAAGTGACAGTAGAAAGACTAAAAAATTTAGCTTTGCTTTAACTTGTAAAATAGGCAGTTCATAGTGCTGTGGCGACCCCAGATTAATAAAGTTACTAAGCCGAGAAGAAAATAAATGAATGAACTTAAAATATGTTAAATTAAGGTGTTGCGGTGGCTCAGTGGTTAGCACTGTCACCTCAAGGCAAGAACGTCACTGGTTTGAGTCCCGGCTGGGCGATTTGGCATTTTTGTGTAGATTTTGTATGTTCTCCTTGTGTTAGTGTGGGTTTCCTCCGGGTGCTCCGGTTTCCCTCACAGTCCAAAGATTTACGCTATAGGTGAATTGAATTAACTAAATTGGCTGTAGTTTATGTGTGTGAATGAGTGTATATGGGTGTTTCCCAGTACCGATGTGTAAAACATATGCTGAAATAGTTGGCGATTCATTCCACTGTGGTGACCTCAGAAATAGACTACGTCGAAGCAAAATGAAAAAATGAATATGTTAAATTAAAAAGTTAAAACTATGTTAAATTAAAAAGTTATTTGAAATTGCAGTAATAATAATATTTAATTGTTTTATTTGAATTATGTTACTGTTATTAATACTTTGTAAGAAAATGCCATTTCTAAACATTTAAAAAACAGTATACTACTTTTGAATGTAGTCTACACTACAAGTCTGTTCAATGGTATTATAATCATATTGTACAAAGAAACATACATGATACTACAATAATCTCTAAGTATAATTATAAATAAAATTCTAATGTTTTCCCAGAGATGGGTTGCGGCTGGAAGGGCATAAGCTGCTGGATAAGTTGGCGGTTCATTCCGCTGTGGCGACCCCAGATTAATTAAGGGACTATGCCGAAAAGAAAAATGAATGAAAATTCTAATACTTTTATGTACTTAAAAAATACTTGTAAAATCACTATTAATGTTTATCATAATAGCATGTTCAAGAACACGCAGCATCTGAAAGAGTTTGATACTTTACTCTGCTGTCAATCACAGCCTGCAGTGGAATCGGGCCCCGCAGTGGGGGCCAATCATCTCAAGTGCTTTCTATTCCATGCCTTTAAATACAGAGAAAATGTGTGAAACACACCATTTAAACCTCTTTTATAAGGGAGACCTGCTAGAAACATCCTGAGCGTGTGCTCAGAGAGAATCGATTGTGTTTGTCACGTGTGCTCTGTAATCTGGTGTGTCTGCTTCTCTTGTGATCCTAAAATGGGACTGTGTCCTGTTGGTCTATTTTATTTACAACTATGCTGTGTGTATGTGTATTTATACACATGCTAGAATTTTTTTTTATGGATCTCAAAGCAAAAAGAAAAAATGACTTTTCCTTAGTATTGAGTTTGACACACACAAAGCATTTCATGCTTTCCGAGGAACATATTTTCTGTGTGTTTACAAGAGGATCAGACTCGGACATCCCCGATTTGATAAGGAGCTACAACAGAGTGGCAGAAATGTGCAGCTGCCTTTCCCCTCCCTTTTCCCCCCCAAATGCTAGAGCAAAATTCAATGGAGCAAATTACATCCATATTGGAGATTTTCAAGCCTTGGAAGGGGTTTTATGTATCTGAAAGTTTTCCGGAGTTTTCAGGAACACTGTTTGTATCTTTTAGAAATGGATTAGAGTTTGGGCCGGGGGGATTACAGGATGACAAAAGAGTGCTCCAAGACGAGGAGAATGGGAAGAAAAGCCATCATCAGACTGATTTAATTTAAGTCCCCTTTTAAAGAGATTCAGAAACAATGCTCCCAGTATAGCAATTGTATGCTAATGATGAGCTTCTTGGCTGTGTGTGTGTGTGTGTGTGTGTGTGTGTGTGTGTGTGTGTGTGTGTGTGTGTGTGTGTGTGTGTGTGTTTGTGTGTGTGTGCACTCTTGTCGAACATGAAACATCCTGTTGAATAACCTCAGTGTTGTGATAACCTCATTATATCCCTTTAATACATCCTCTGAAAGCATTCTGGTTTCAAAAGCGTCAGAATTAGGGTGACTAATATCACTCTTGTTGCACCGAAACAAAGCGTAATGGTTTGGAAATCCTCGCTTCGGCTCGGAAAAGGAGGGCCGCGTCATTCGCCGCTCTTTCTTTTGCACCTTGAAAGGTTCTTTTATAGGTTCCACAAGGGAACGCTTCTTCAGAAGATTATCATGATTTATTTCTTTCATGGCCAAAAAACTGGATAAAGTAATTAACAAGCAATAAGAGACAAACTCCTGGCCAGGGAAAAACATAAGCCTGCTTTTGTACGTTGGGTATTTACGGAGATCTTATGAATTTTGCAAGATGAGCGTGTGTTAAATTTGTCCACTTTTTCACATTGTTCTAACAAAGGTTCCAATTTTGTAGCATCTATTCAAAAGGACTTTTGTATTTAAACTCATTTTCATGCCGTCAAATTTAACTACAAGCCTTTTACAGCATTTCAGTTTTTGTTCAATAAGCTCTGGGTTGAATTATAGTAAGGATGAACAATTAGAGAATTGCTATCTAACAGACAAGACTTTTAAAATCGTTTGTAGCCAATTACGTAAGTGACTCACACTTGTGAAAGCATTTCAAAGGCAGAGAACTTTGTATGTTTGTTTATTAACTTATGATGCGTTTCTGCATGTCAGTTAAGCCGCGGTCACATTAGAGTTTGAGCATGCTAAATTCTGTCGTGCTATGCTGCGAAAAGGAGCGGGACTAAACAAGATGATTAGGCATTTGCTGCATCCCAATTCGCATACTATCCATCCTAAATAGTGTTCAAAAATAGAATTAGTATGTCCCAAACCATAGTACGTTGAAAAGAGTATGCCAAAAGTTCCCGGATGGTTTACCATTTACGGTAAAAATCCAAAGTGTAGAAGCATATATACACTAACCACTACACTGTTAAAAATTGCTGTTAATTTACGGCAAAATTTTAACAGTATAATCCTGTTATTGTCAAAAGCAGTATGTTGCTGTTTTTTTACGGTTTTTGAAATGACGTAGACAAGATTTAACATTATTTTACTGTTTTTATCACACTAATGTAAAAAAACATCAATCAACAGTATTTTTTGAACAGAAGACGTCAGCCATTACATGTGGATTTTCATGCTTCTTTTAACTTTGACTTACTCGGTGAGTGCACCTTTATTTTGCTCATTTTACACAAAATACACATTTGTGATTGCAAATAGGTTAACTGGATGCTGATATTGTAACTTTTTTACATCTATTTTAGTTCTAAATCAGTGTCAATGTGCAAACTGCATCTGCATTGAGTGGAACTGGATTTCTGACACAGATATTTCCTGATTACATGGTAAGTCAGACTATGATAATTAAAAAATGATATAGGCTATAAGCGTATCTATAAAGTCAGTTTTTAAACATATGTAGCAACAAAGTTGTATTGATTTAGGTAGCATGATGAAAAGATTGTCATCTCATAGTTAATTTTAGCTTTAGCTTTTAATAGCTACCTAATATGGTTTCAATGTAGGCTTTGATAAAACATTTTTTTCACTAATGCTGTGTTTAAAAATGTTACTGTTGTTGGTTTGTATTGTAATGCTACTTTGTCGAGTACAATTGGCTAATCACCACGATAAACTGTTTTATACATTATGTCCATTTCTGCGCTGAACCTGTGAACATGTGAACATGCTAACTGCCTCATAGAGTGGAGCTGGATTTCTGATACAGATATTGATTTCTGATTACAAGGTGAGTTTAATGAAACATGATAACATGGTAAAGTTATTATTATTGTCTATATGGTATTATTGTCCTAATAACTAAAAATACAATAAAAAAATGTTATGCATACATTATGGTTGTTAATTTTGTCTCTTTCCTCATCATTGTAATTCTTGTCTTAGGCATCTTCTACTGTACCTGATGTAGAAAAGACCCTTGAACTACCTGCAATTCCTTGACTGATACTTTTTGGTATGTTTAGAACTGTATTTTATTACTTATGCAACTAAGGGTGTTTTCTCTGTATTTTAGCAAACATGGTAAATTCTTTTAAACAAAACAAAATACACAAATACATAAAATAAATGTTCTGTCATATTTTACCCAAGCTTTCATTCACCTTTGGAAAACATTATATTAAATTTACTAAATTACTCAATTTTAGTTGTTTAACACATGAGCTATGTTGATCATAAATATTAAGTTAAATAAATCACAAACATTGCAGTGACAATTTCACAATACACAGTATATACACGTTGATTTCAGTGGCTGTCCAGGTGGGTCCACAGTCAACATTTTCAAATGCATTTATTGTGTTAAAAGAACAGGGCTTTGAGACTAAGTAAAATTATGTCAGCTTCCCTCACATATATTTTCAAATAGGCAGTAGAAAATATAATTTCATGTGACTGCTGACATTGTTTTTTTCTTTTAATTGTTTTAGGAGAAAAACCAGGAAGCTACATTCATAAATGGATGGTCAGTTTTGAGGGGCAAATAATCTGAGAGAGCATCCAGCCAAGTTTTCTGTCTGGTATAGCTGCTGTGTTTTCAACTTACGACATTTTCGATGTGGAGAACCAAGCTGAGGCTGCATGCACATTGGAATTAATTCAGAGGTTAGACGCTTAAATTAATATATTTATTTCTCTTCACATTATTATTGTATAAACTTTAACCCACACTAATTCTGAATATGTGCACTTTTTTAGGAGCTTCATTGGTAAACCCTAAGGCTCCAAGAGTGGACACATCCTATCGAAGGGAATGGGGAAGGTCACCCACAAAATGAATTCAGTCAACACTAAGGTTGCCAGTTTACTTAAAGAAGCTAATGGACTTTGAGTTGGATGTCATATAAGCGTCCCCCCCCCCCCCCCCCACACACACACACCCTACACATCCTCTTCACTTATGGCACTCATTTTATTGTGTTAGTCGCGTAATTTTTTCAGGTGTTTGTTCTTGAATACCTAAACTGTTCATTGCATTCTTTTTTATTTCTTAATGACTAATTCTGTAATTCACTCAGAAGTTTTCAGAGTAGTAATTGTTGGAGTAATTCTACTTGGTTTTCCATAGCCACTAATTTGAAATATATAAGTGTAATAAGATGTAATAAAAGTTAAAGTTACACTGCATTTTTAATGTTTCCAATAAGGCTATATGTGTGCATTGTATTAAACTGTGTTTTTATAACAAATAAAAAATGTATATATACCCATTTTCTTAGCAGTTCATTTCTCGGGATAACATATTTGTAGTTTACAGTTAAAAATTCAAATAAACATTAATTAACCGTTAATTTTGACATTAAATTACTGTTAATGTAGTAAATAACAGCTTTATGCTGTATTTTCTAAAAACAGGAACAACCTGTAAATTTCAACTACAGCTAGATGCTGTTAATTTAACAGTAACTTGCTGGCAACTGTGCTGCCAGTAACTTACTGTTTTTTAACGGGACAATTTTTAACAGTGTAGCATTGCCCACAATACATTGCACGTTGGATGTGAATTTGATTAGAACTACAAACTTGGGTAAAAAGTGTAAACAAACTACAAACATGGCTGACATGCAAGCCCAACTGCCAAATAGAGAGGCTTTGGTAAAGTTGTTTGAATGGCTTAATTAATATCTAGCCAACTGGAACGTATTTAAATCGTGTTTTCCGTGTTATATTTCATCTGTGACAACAATTTGAACTTATATCAAGATATATTAACTTCTAAATGCATAATGACCCAAAGAGCTGAGGGGATTTCTCTGCATAAAAGACTCCCAAATAGCAGATTAACCTGCTGCTGCTGCTTCTCAAATAAGGTAGTTAAATATGAAAGAAATGTGGATGATGTGTCAAGAAGATTGACAGGTGATGTAACTAAAAAATATAATGATCTGTTAACAAGGTAGCAGTATGCCCTAAAGTTTGCATACTCTTCTTTTACACACTTAGAAGTGTATACTTTTCAAAAAAGTACATACTTTTAGAGCAGGGGTTCCCAAACTTTTCAACCCGCGACCCTCAAAATTACAATGCCAGTGACTCACAACCCCCAATATCCTCTGAGATGGTTATAAATACAAAAACCTTGTACGCAATGGCGTACACACACCAATAGACCCCAAGTCTATTTTTTGTTTAATTTTTTTTTATGTATGTCAGTGCTGTACAGTAAATGTGCCAGAAAGTTTAACCTGATGTTATAAAATCAATCTGCTGTATCTGACGCTGCTGTGTCTTTAATATAATGTAATTACCCCAGGGGTCGCAGTCCAATAGAACTAGTAACTATAAGCTACTATAATAACTATATAGTATATAGTAACTATAAACAACTTTTTTTTTTTATAGGAAATTTCCAGCCCCACCCCTTCAATGTCTCCCGACCCTCACTTTGAGAACCACGATTTTAGAGCAAAGTATAAGTATGTGAATTAGGATGCAGCAATGGATAAAGTGAGCGATTGCTCCATGTTTTAAAAATTTCGAGGTCACCTTTTGGTCTTCTATTGGTCTCACACAATAATGCAATGTGATTTAGTAGGTCGAGTTCACCAAGCTTGAACTTTTGAATTCAGCTACATGCGAAACTTGATGCATTTACATGGGTATGAATTAGGGCTAGATTATATAGAAAAAAAATTTATACCTCGATATTGTCAACATTTTTTCGATATTCAATATATACCTCGATATGTTTGCATTTGCTTTGAAACAACAGAAAACATAATTTTCTTGTGCCCCATTGAAAAAATAACTATTTAGAACATCTGTTGCAGAGTAAATACAAACAAAATGTTTAGTAAAAAAATTAAGCAGTTAAAAAAAAAGCAAGACCAAGAGTTCACTCACTCACTGCAGGGCACCAGCACAATAGAACAGTACTGTACCAAAAATGTTGGGATAAAACACGGAGATGAACTCAAAAGGAGAATGGCTGCCACTTTTCCTCATAGAGGAATGTTTTCACACAGAGTGTTTTGTGCAGTCAAGAAGACATCATATTGTTTATTAGTTAACTCATAAGAACAAGCTTAGTTTTCATAGCAAGCTGGTAAACTTAAATATTGCCGCCGTGTGTGAGAATGAATTTTTTTGGTAAGAATATTAGATCTCTGGTCCATTGCGCCAAAACAAACCCCTACTGCCATCTGCTTACCACTTAAGAGACCTCTCAACCCATCTTAAATAACTGGGAATAGAAGCTATAAAAATGGATAACTTGATTTTACACTTATTTTAAAATTTGGTTTTAAAAATAGATGTATTTTGTTTTAAAAATCTCAAGAGTTAAGAGTAAAATGGCACTATTAGAGAAGCTTGTTGAATACAGGAGCAGATAGATAGATAGATAGATAGATAGATAGATAGATAGATAGATAGATAGATAGATAGATAGATAGATAGATAGATAGATAGATAGATAGATAGATAGATAGATAGATAGATAGATAGATTTCATTTAAGAGCATTATCAGGTTGTCATTCATATTAACTGAACTGTGCTCAGTCTTTTAGACGCTTCATAATCTTTCTCATTCCATCTAATAAATGCATGTCTTTGAAGATTTGTAACATATTTTCTTTTTTTTTATTTGACTCCGCATTTTAAAGGTGACCAAAATTACAATTTAAAAGGAACTGACTCTTAGTAAAGCTCTCTACGCACGTAACAGACTGACATGCATGTGTATGAATCACAGATAGACGCACATGCTCAGAAATATCTCAAATTTGTTCTGTTTTTCCTTTTTTTTTATGTTCGATTGTGAGTTTTGCATTTGGATAATGTGACGAAGCCTTGCAGTATCATTGGTTTTTCAACTCTGTCAAATCTCATAACTCCACCCAGTATTATTGATACTCACAGTCTGAAAGGTTTCTGCTTGTTTTAAATATACCAGGGTAAAAACAACCTATTGCTTAAATATTCAGCGTTTAAATGACTGTATATGAAAATAATGTTTATGTATTTTAGGAGCAGTCTAGACATAGTCAATGAAAGTAGCCTACTCATCTTGTATAAAATTATATTTTGGCCAAATGACAGAAATAGCTACAATAAACTTTATAACCAGTTGATGAAATTGTGATATAATGCACTGTTCTAAAAAGAAAGATGTTTTACATTCACTGCTCATAAACATATTGACTCCTAAATTCAATATAAATATAGTCACCTTTTTGAAGCGTAGTAATTATATAAATTGTGGATTTTCACAAGACGCCAACTAACTTCCAATGTATTGTGCACTTTAAACATTTAGAATAATAATCTACAGCACCACAGTATGCAAAGTTTTGACCATCTGCTTTGACTTTTAGCTGTTACGGCCTTTGGAGGAGAAAAACATAAAACATGTGTTTTAAGTGTTTTTTCTAAGCAGAAATCAGTCTATTAATGTGAGGATTAGGAATGCACTAAAACAAAAAATCTTGGTTGAAACTGAAAACCAAAAAAGAGGAAAGCAAGGCTGAAAACTGAAACATTGAAAGAAATTATGCCTATTATTAGCACGATTCCATGTATGGCTATGACTGTGTACTAACCTTACTACTAACCTTGCAATTGCATAAATTAATATCAAAGTTTGAAAGATTAAATCAATTACAAAGCATATTGCAACAATGGGGATGGGGATCACTAGAAAACAAGCTGTTTAGTGGTTGAGCTTGTCATCTGCCTGACATATGAGAAAGATTTGAGTTTGTTTATAAATTGGGCTAGTACATAAATAACAATAATAACATGTTTTTAAACATTTATAACAATAATAATTTTAAGGGTCAACAATATTTCCCCTTAATGATTTAAGTGTTTCCTTAACTGTTGCTACAAAGTCTTTAACCATTTCCCCTTAACAAATTTAAAGACCAAACAGCTCCATTAAATGAGCAAATGACACACATAATATAAGCATTCTCGTCCAAATAAAAGGGTTTTAAGGTGCTTTCACACCTGTAGATCGATTGTTTTATTCAGAAACTGGGATTAAAATTGTTACAATGTTGAACTTTGTTCTTGGTGTGGTTCGCTTTAACACGGCAAAGTTTCTAAACGGACCAAAACAGCTAAAACAAGTCACATGCGAGTAAATTCTTCTCCCATTGGTCAGAGTCCTGCTCAGCTGCCATACATCCTTATTTATGACGATGAGCAATAAGACATTATACGCGAAAACCTGCGCTTTAATTTTGAATGGTGACACCCACAGACATCGTCAGCAAATATAAATCAGAGAAAAGACTTTCTCTTAGCCGTTGGTTTGAATTATGGATTATAGAATTTACTTTATATAGAGAAATAACAGTCAAACCAATACTGCAGTTCGGTAACTGATAAACAGCTCTCGTTAATAGTTTCAAGAGTTCACACTTAGCTGATGATTGACAATAAAGCTAGTTTGGCGTGCTGTGCCGGGAGAGAGCCCTGAGCTTATAAGATCCTTGAGCCCTGGGCTCCCGTTGCAAGGCGAGAGGGGAGTTTGAGCTCAGGTAGATCTCGATGACTCCCCCTCTTACTTGTTGTAGCTAAGTGTCGGATATGGATGCTGAAAGGTGTACTCAGAGTTAGCTAAGGTATTTGGATTAATTGTTTAGAGTGCTTGTTTTTGAACTGTGGGAGGAAACCGGAGGAACCGGGGAAAACCCACGTGATCACGGGGAGAACGTGCAAACTCCGCACAGAAATGCCGTCTGGTTTGGAAAGGAATTAAACCAGGCACATTCTTGCTGTGAGGCAACAGCGCTAATCGCTGTCCACCGTGACGCCCGTTTGAAAGGGAGGAAAGTAGGGTTGGGTGGGGGGGTGGGGGGGGGGTTTCTTCAAGACGAAGATATTGAGATGAGAAAAGTCTGGTTATTTATAGTGAGTTAAG